GTCAGCTGGGCAGTACACGGTGTTGCGACTCGTTCCAAGGCTCTGTATAAATTCAGCGGCGGTGACAATTTACAGCTCGCGCCCATCCTCAATATGACGCACTGAGCGGGACACCAAGCGTGTCCTGCTGCCATCTCACTAAAGTGAGGCTAATTTATTACAGTGTAAAACCCACAGGGCAGAGAGAGGAGGGAGGCAGAGATATAGGGAAGCCTTGGTGGAGACTTGTGCTTTAATGTGGTTTAAAGCTGTGGACACTGTGACTTTGTTACTCTATTGTAGCACAGTGCGGTGTTTAGTAGGGTTTGAGCATATTTAACTTCCTCACAATCTGCCAAAATCTATTGGCATCCATATTTACAGTTGTATAAATATAAACATGAAACAGTTTTGACTTTAAAATGATAGTCATTAAATTTAATGTCAGTCTTAAAAATGTCTCTTTACATGTGAAAAGCTTTGGACCTTAATGTAATTCAAAAGCATCAACGTCTGCCTCCTGTCAAATCAGATTTACTGCAAATAAATTTAAATGTATTTTATTCAGTTCTGAGAAGGTCCTGACAGAACGTCTGTTGTATCTTTTGAACAGGTATGTTAAAAAAAAAAAACCCCGAAGAGATTGAGTTAATTACATCACGTCACATCTTCACATCACTGATGGTGTGACAGAAATAGCGGAGCAGCATATTCAGAGTTGACCTTCAGAAACTATCACATTTATGGGCTTTCTTCCACGGGGGCTTCCCCCTTTTCCACTACCATTACCATACTTATCAGAGCTGATTGCTGCTTGACGTCCTTTTAATTCTTTATTTCCCATTTTGACAAGGCGCTCGAGAAAAAGAGCCGTGCGGTGCAGCTCGTGACTTTGGCAGGTGAGAAATGTGCTGAGTGGAGAACTTTGATTTGGAAGTGTGGGCATAAATTTAGCCTCCGCTTCATTCTCTCACTGATTGTCAAAACCACCTCCCACCAAACTCCACACCCACTGAGCTGCCACACGCACACTATCACACACACGTACTTTTGTTTCATTTTTGAGGCCTTTCTTCCTGGTAATTAGACTATATGTTGTCTGCTGTGTAACTTAAGAGGCTAGTACTTGAAGTAAAATAGTGGAGTGGAGTAAAGAATTAAATATATATACACAGTAGTGTGTAGTAGTCTGGTATTATTCTGGTAGTTTAAGTGTATGAACAGAGAGCCTCAAGGTCTGCCCCTGTGCAGGTGGTTATAAAATAATAATCAATACAACTGAATTTAAATAGATTACATTAACATTATCTCCATCAATGATGTGTGTAATTTCTACAACCATGCCCATCATTTTTTCAACACAAAAGTTCTAGACCTACATCTTATCTCATGTTAAAATAAACACATTCAATGTTTTTTTTCTAATTATGCTAAGCTAATCCTGCTATCCTCCTAGCTTAGTACTTCTTTACCAGTTATTTACAGCAGCTAAGAACATTTTATCTGTATTACTTTTATTTGTATTTTTCTGAATTTAATATTTCCACATTTATTTCCAATGACTAAAAACCCTAAAAAGGAAGGAAGGGAAAAAAGTCCTCAGATGGTCGTCGGATGAAGGTGCTATGGACTACATTTTCTTTAGTTTTTCAAAACAGGCAATTCATTTGATTTTAAAGCATGAGTCTAAAATTTACAATAACTTAAAATTTACCTCAAGTAAACACTAAATAGAGTTAAGGGTATTCTTTAGCTATTTCTTTTGGCAGCTTTCTGTCCTTTAACTTGATTGTGAGAGTTCATTTTGAAAACATTAAGAGAATCAGACGTTTTAGTTAAACAGGGATTTAGAAAAGAAAAGTCCTCAGATGTTGTCATGGGCTGTGAACAGTTGTGCCCAGCGAATTTACCTAACAATCAGATTAATTACCATTGTCTATTTTTCAAGCACTAAATAATAAATCAACCAATCAAAAATACAATCAGAAGCCAATCATTTATTTAAACAGTCATCAAAAGAAGATAATATTAACCACACTCTGTGGTATGAAGAGAAATAAGAAAACACATCTTGAAAATAAATACAATTAAACAAAGTTAATGGGTTAGACTTGTTTGGGTTGAGTTGTTTTTCTTATATAAATGGACAGTCTGTGATGTTGATTTGACTCCTGTTTGGAGGACACTGCTGTCGGTGAAGGACACTGATATTCTGTCCTCCTACAACTATATTAAAAAAGGAAAAAGCTTTGCCTGGAATAGTTAGATGTTTTTTTTTGTCTTTCAGTCTTATCCTTTGCCCTTTCTTGTTTAACTTTCTACCACCTTCCAAAGACAGACCGCCGCGTGCTGGTTTTTACTGCCATCTAGGGGTGAGAAAATGCTGCTGCTGCAGTTACCTGCTTGCGGCGTTTAAATATAAGTTGACCTTAACATTTGTGTTTTTGTAACCTACATTTAAGCCAAAATTAGATTTCCAATTCCATACATCCCTGCTGTAGCCTCTGTTCCTGCCCCAGGTTCTCTTTGGAGGCTGGACTGCCTATAGAATAGCAGGAGTTAATTTTGTGCTACAATGCTTGGCTGGCCACAGCCAGCTACAGAGGGATGCAAAGACACAGAGCCATAAACACAACAGCTACTTGGGGAGCATTCACAGAAGCCTGGAGGAGACAGCGTTCACACATACACACACAGACATCCACAAGTGTGTGCACGCACGTTTATGGGACAATGTGGGATAAACAGTGGATTGACTGTAAGCTCCAGAAGGATGCTGGAAGATGAAGGAGCAAGGGCACAGTATCACTGAGACTAAATGTAGCATGGCCACATCGGTCGGGACCGCGGCAGCTGGTTTGCAGCATGAATTTCTGGGATTTTGTTGTTGTTGTTTTTGTTTTTCTTGTGTCTTTTCTGATCTCCAGCTTTGCACTTTGAGCGTCTGTTTTGTTTCTTTTCTTTTGTATTAAAAGTCTGTGGTGCTGCTGCTGGCCTGGGGTCGAGGCCAGACTAGAATTTCTAAGTGATAGAATTTCACAGCCACCAAACACCCAGCGGCCGGCCAAAGCGCAAGCACTCACATTTACAACAAACGGCCCGCCCTCCACGGAGACTAGTGAATGGCACAGCCATTTGTCTCCGTGAAGGGCAGGGGGGCAGTGGGAGGCATGTTGGGGGGGCAGAATAAAATCAGAGAGAGAGTTAAATTGAACAGCAGTGTTTTTTTGTTGTTGTTTACCACCGTTAACAATGCAAACAGACACACACTCGCCTTATGCTCTCATGTACACACCGTCACACACTCTGAGGCAAATTCAAATGAAGGAGAAGGAGAAGGTGCACAGGCTGTTGATAATTAGCATTTTCTCTGCTCAGCACAGGAGGGCGGAGGAATCGATAATATATTAATTTTGTGTATCGAAATGAGCCACACAATCACTTTCATCAATTAGAAACAGCAGATTGAAGGAGAAACACCAGCCAGGAAAGAAAAAAAAGTTTAACCCCTGCAGTGTCTTTGGTATCGGCTAGGAATGTACACTTTCTTTCTGTAAAAAAATAAAAATAAAAGACAGCAAAATATATGTAGGAATGAACCCTGATGCCCAGGTTTAAATGTTACCAGTGGAGGTTAAAATGAAGCCACATGCTAAAAGAAAAACACTGAGAGTGAGTGAC